GCAATTCTCCAGCTTTGACTTAAAGATGGAGGGAGCCACGTTAGATTGATGTTTACAAGTTTCTTCCGAATTTTTAAGCTGAAAATCTGATTTTCCAAAGTCTGACTTCTCTGTTTCATGCATCACTGATTTTCTCTCTGTAGCAAACCTCTCTGATTATGATAATTTCAGTTCATGGCAGAAATATAGAAATTAACAGCAGTGCCCATGAATGAGCTATTCTTACATGTTCAGCGTGTAGTTTCTAACTCACACAGACTGTGGTCTGTGCAAGAGAGGTAACATGGAAGACAAGCTGTTCTGTTCCTACTTTCTCTGCCAGTTAACATTTAGCATGAAATGACAATAAAGAATTCTATGAAAGTGCTCTTTTCTTGTATGAATGCCAGGTACCGACGTCCTTGATAACCGATTGTTAATAACATCTGAGTGTTCAGAGGATAAACCTGCCAATGTTCAGGAATACAAAACATTCCAGAGACACATCATCGGCATATATGCACTGATTCATGATAGTTCAAGGTTTTGGGAGGCAAGATTTTAAGATGTCCATACTAAAATGTATCTGCCTATTTGAAGGATTTATGTTGCATTTGTTATTGTGCACGGCACCTATATTTGTATCGGATTTGTGCTTCTCTGCAGTCCGAACGCAAACGGCTTCAAACTCTTGGGCTCAAGATTATTCCAGTGCGTTGCGTGTGAGACAGATTACTCAGCCTGTTTGCAGCCAGTCAGTGAACCTGCTCCGTAACCGTATACCTGTGCTGAAAGGAGAAGTCGCCATTTCAGCGCTGTCCGTTTGGATCAGCGTTCCCTGTGGCGCTTTGCCCTCGTTCAAAGATCCTCAGTTGGTGATCTGTTCCTTGGCCTCTGCCTCGCTCCCTCTTGTGACACAATGAGCACTTTGTTCCCACATCTACGACCACTGCAGGACCTTGACTTGTATTTTTGGCAATTATACACAATTCTATTCCAAGTCCGTTTTGTTGTTGCTTCATTGGAAATACAATCGAATCGAGGACAAATGCAATGAAACCGGGACCCTGGAAGAGGCTTGTACGAATTAGATTGTGGTGCTGATAAGTTCCATATAGAGCTGGTAAACACACTCTTATCTTGTTACCCAGCTTGCACATTAACGCATGATCTGTGGGGGAGGGTTTAAAAGGATAAATCAAATTCTAATAATTCGGGCTGTCTTCTTCCACTCTGTGCTCTTTGTCTCTATTTCTGTAACTCATCGTACAAAAGACCTCAGCCCACAAGCAAGAACAATGGAAGGGTCAGGAGTACTAGCCATTTTCCAGCACCTGCTGAATGCTCAGAAACTGAGTGCTCTAGTGATTACGTGGCCTAATGTGTGGTGTTTAAAGAGCAGTTTCTAGCAGCCGAGTTAAATGGTGGTGCCCTCTGTGAAGTATTAATGATGTGGATGGATGAATCGAGTCTGCAAAAACCTGTTGACGGCAGCCAGTGCGCTCTTTTAAAGCTGCACCTAGACATCGGGCTTAACCGCTTGGCAAATTGGACATGCTTGTTGGCTGTAGCTCCAATTTATGTGCACTCTCCATTGCAGTTAGTCTATCTTCATTATTGAAATGGCCTCTCGTCAGGTCTTGACAGAGTGGTGGAGATAGCAAAGGAGGGAGTGAGAGGGAGCATACAGGAGAATCATGAATAATGTGGAAAATAAACACATTCGAGGAGCCGGAGCTGGCTGGCAGGAGGAGTGTTGGGAGTGTTGTTAAATGCCCGGCTTTCATTTTCTCTCTGCCTCTCTCCATGCAATTGTATGTGCAGCTTGTGCCAGGGGATGTTGATGCTGTAGATCCTCAGCCTTGGGGCTTTATCTAACACACCTGCAATTGAACATGCACACCTACGAGCAGCACTCAGTGATGAGCTCGGGCGGCACCTCTGTGGCCTGTACAGCATCCCCGCCACGGGTTGTGTCGCGGGCATCCTTGAAACATACCTCTCACTGGCCACAGCTTATTTTTAAAAGGTTGCTGCTGTGCCATTGCTATCTTTCTCAGGGCTGCTGTATTGATAAGGCTGATAAGGCTGGGCACAGCTCATCTCCGTCAGTCAGTTCCGGTTCATGCTTTTTAGGAGGGGACGTGCTTATTGCCAGAGGTACAACTTCAGTTTTTCTGTGATTAATACAACTTGACCTCAAAACCATTTCATAACTTTAAAGACAGACTCCTGAGCCAGTGCTTGGGGTATTGTGGTGCTTCTCTTTGAAGTAAAGCCTAGATCTTGGCTGAGTATTCACAGCCTTTCACCATAAGTACATGAAGGATGAGAATTGATAACATTTCATTAATGCCTAAGCCATCATCGATCCAGTTATGGATTCCCTTATTGACTCTCGACTCAATTTTCTATGAGAACACAAGCACAAACAGAGGTTTTCAGTAGCAGCTCAACTGCTTACTATCTGAAATTCCAAACAGAATAAACTTTATGTTTAGGGTTTTTGTTAACTCCACCTGGAAATCTAGAGTAAAAAGCTGAACCAATTGGAATAAAATATCAACATCGCTTAACTTCCAGAAAGCAGGAAATCATACAATACTGTTTTTTAGCTTTCTCAGTCAAAGATGTGCCAACCGCAGTGTTCATTATAACATGGGATATTTGCAGCACTAGGAGATCGGTTGATAAGTGGTGGCACTTCTGTTTGAGCTACGTAAAGTGTTATTGTGCAAAGTACATACTGCTTTGTCCAACTATCAACATGTCTGCCTCTCTCCCAATCCCTCATGCTCACGCTGCAGCCACACTGCACGTAAATCTGGTCTCATTCATATATTCTTCTGTTACATGGACAAAGTGGAAGTGAAAAGCGGCTTGATAAGAATCTGACAGGTCTGATAGTATACATACACTAGAGCCTCCGCATCGTTCAAATAAGTTAACGACAACATCTATGCAGTCATACTGGCTAGATTTAAATACTGTAAAGCCTGGAGAGAAAGTTAGATGCAGCTTATTCTCAGTCAGTTCACAGTCTAATGCACTACGGGCACAGCTGAATTTCATGAAGCTGCAGGGCAAAGGAAGACAGAGTTGTCCATGTCAAAGGACAGAGACTGGAATAGAGTTTATTTTTCTGATTATAATTATTCAAGGATTTGATATGCATTTTGCAAATTAAAACACAAAGTGTTGTAAATTACTTAGCATTTTGAAAGGGTCCAAACGTTTGGTGTGAAATCAGCAAAAGCTGACCGAACAATTATACTTTAGGGGTACTACTTTTTGTGTTGGTTTTAAATTGAGTCTTCAGTTGCTACCAGAGACTTCCTCTATGAATTAGAGATTAAAACAGTTATGTTAGGGCTTATATTTTTTCTTCTGATGAATTACATTATTGATGATGATATGTAAGTCATAATACAGAGGTTTATAGCAAAGGTCTGGGGCATATAATCATGTTTGAACTGCAGCGTACAACCTGCGCAGAGCTTTTAATTGATTCAAACCTAAATTTGCAGGTACTGCAAAAACAGAAAAGGAGAGATAATCAGTCATTATTGATAGCAGCAACCTGTTTTTTCTTTATGCAAACATCAGCAATAATGTCAAATCTGATGTTTATGACTTTACACTTCATTTCTTCCTGCTCATCCTGACATAAGGTAGTTGCTCCATCTGCCAGGTTTTTAAACTTAGTTTTCAATGACAAGTGCTTGTTTTCCCCTAAAAACCCAACACCAAAAATTGTGTTTTATTCACAATAAAGGCTTGTTTTTATTTTCAGTCTTCACATAGCAATTCAGAACAAGAATTTTTATTCACATGTCGTATATGTTCTTTCATCGTTGGACTATTATGCATACAGGCTGTACCTACAGGGCCTTTGTCCTGCTGCTCTAAACGCACTCATAAGTAGATGTGATAGCTCATGAGGTAATTACCCACCGAGCCGGTGTGTATGCAACTGTAAGCTGAAGCAGGGGTTCCCTTCAGGTAGCTCTCCTTCTCAGGTCAGTGAACAGCTAATAACATTTAGAAGAAAAAAGGATAAAAGAGATGCCAGTTGGTTGTAGCCAACCACACACTACCTTTGTCTTATTGTCTACCTTCTGTCTTAATCTCCCAGCCACCCTTTTCACACCACAAGGAGATCATGTTATTAGATCCCCTCCCTTGGCTCATTTGTCATCCTACAGCACCACTCCTCCAGAGAGAGACTGCAGGGGAAGAAAAAAGAAAACAATATAAAATGCTAGGAGACCACAACATCAAATGTTCATCATTTACAGTCCCATAGTCTCAGTATCCTGTTCTTTCACATTCTCAGTGGCTTTGTATGTTTCCTTTATCACCCGGTTTTAACAGGCCGACAAACTTCAACCTCTCTACCCTCAAAACATAGTCTTGTATTACACTGTACCCAGTGCACACATTTATACATACACACATAGTCACTGCGCGCACACAGTCGTCCTCCACCTTCGCCATCTTGAGTTGTTCCAATAAAAAGTATCATAAGAATCGTCACCATCGCAGTCACATCATTTTGATCTCTCCTCTTTGAACCAGGTTGTTCTCTTGCTACTGAGGGAGGAAGTCAACTAATTACAATAAACAAATATGCTCAGTACCGCCTATGTGAAGTTCACATAGGTTAACAATTCTGCTATAAATGTTAAATGAAGCTTAAAATAGGACATATGGCTTACAGTTGCCATAGAGATCTTGGCAGTGGCTCTTTGCGTACTTTCTTGGTTGGCAAAGTTTAAATTAATCTTAGACGTAAGTTTGTGTTATAGAGAAGATATAAAAGATTGTTCGGTGCCCCCAGGGGCCTCTTTGACGTCTAAAGCTGTCTCTTCAATTACTGCAACTTTATTTTTGAGTTTACTTTAACTTTTTTGTGTGTGTGTGTGAAGAAGTCTAACACACTAACCAGTAGTGTTGCACTCCTTTGGACAGTGATCTCAAATTTGTGCGCGTGTCTCTCATATTTCTCTTTCCTTTTCAACAGGTGGGACGGTGAAAATGATGCGTGGGTGGTGCAGCACTGAGCCGTATTGATGGATGTGTTAACAGACAGCAGTCTCACATTGATCGTGAAGACTTCAGAACCAGAGAATGCAAATGTTGATGAGAACACAGGTAACAGCAGATTTTTCTGATGCCCATACCTCCTTACTTTCAGGCTGAGTCAATATGACTTTAGCAACTTGTTAATTGTGCCTTTTAGTTTTCTAAAAATTAACTTTGTACATTTATAGTAACTTTGTTGTTAACCTAAAAGAAGAGTTTTTCATTTGACCAATATTATTCCAGCTCTTTGAATATTTCACTTGAAGAATTAGAGCTTTGAAAAGACAATTAGTGTTAGCACATAACCTAGAACTAGCTTCATTGAATGAGTTTGAGGCTTTTGACAAGAATGGGGAGTGTGATACTCATTCTGTCTTTTTTAAATGAGAAGGGGAAAAGAAACACTAAATGAGGCATTTTAAGCTATTGTTAATCTTTTCTGCTCATGCCTCCACAACTCAGAAGTATGGCATCCAATTTCTCACATAAAAAGGTGCAAATGTGACAGCGGGTGCAGCCATCAACAGATTCATTAGCAGGGACAAAAGAGGTCTGTGTTCAAATTAAAGTTTATGTACACTTGTTTGTTTATTATCCAATGTACACTGTGAGTTGCAAAAAAATAATCTTTTGCCAGTGAGGGAAGCCACACACATAAGGCTTTTAAAAAAAAAAATCCAATATACATTCTGCCTTATGTATACAGTATAAATAGTAGATAATTATGCGTAAAAAATCTAATTTTGTAGTATGTGGTTTTAAAATCAAGGTGTTGTGTATGATATATTTTTCCTATGCATATGAAACCTCAACAGTCGGTACTCAGGTGCTATGAAACGAAAACATTGTTTTTCATTGCCAGAGGTGGCTTTGAAGAAATGGGAAGGTTAATTAAAAATGAAATACTAGAAAGCAAGAATTTCTACACGCAGTTCCCGCCTATCCAACTGAGTGTTGTTGCTATCCTATGCCTGATGTCTTTCATTATGTTGACCCCAGTGATTTCAAAGGGGGGACTTTTTAATGTAACCAGCATTTTTAATTTATTTTATTCTTGTGGTGTGTATTTTTTTAGCAGAACATCTCACAAGTGCCATAATTATGGCCATGTGATAAAATAACAACACTTCTGCACCAATTTCACATTGTAACAGTGTACATGCAATCCAGACAAATTGTTAAATCACAATAACGTGGTCAGAGTTTGAATTTGTCATGGATATATGAGCCAAATAGATAGTACATAGGCTGGAGATCTTTAGTAAAGTACAACTTAAAAGCATAGAGGCAGGCTGGGCAAGAATGGTATGTTTTCAGGTTTACATCATAAGCTCTGCATTGCTTCAAGTGCTTTTATCCATCCATCCATCCATCCATCCATCCATCCATCCATCCATCCATCCATCCATCCATCCATCCATCGTCCACCGCTTGTCTGGGGTCGGGTCGCAGGGGCAGCAGTCAAACTTCCCTCTCCCCGCCACTTCTGCCAGCTGCTCTGGGGGGATCCCACGGCGTTCCCTGGTCAGCCAAGAGACATAGTCTTTCCAGTACGTTCTGGGTCCTCCTCCAGGTGGGACGTGCACAGAACACCTCACCAGGGGGGCATCCTAATCAGATGTCCGAGACAACTCAACTGGCTCCTCTCAACATGGAGGAGCTGTGTTTCTACCGGATTGCTGAGCTTCTCACCCTATCTCTAAGGGAAAACCCATTTCAGACGATTGCATCCACAATGTCCTTCTTTCTGTCACTACCCAAAGTTCATGACCATAGATGAGGGTAGGAATGTAGATTTACCAATAAATCGAGAGCCACCCTTTAAGCTCCGGTTTCTTGTCATCACGACAGACTGGTACAACACCCGCAATATTGCAGACGCTGCACTGATCCGCCTGTTGATCTTCCACTCCATTTTACCCCCATCCGCGAAGAAGACCCTGAGTTACTTGAACTCCTCCACTTGGGGAAGGACATCCCCCCTGACCCAAAGGAGGTACTCCTTTTACGGTGAAAGACCATAGTCTTGGATTTGGAGGCACTGATCGTCATTCCAACCGCTTCATACTCGGCTACTGTCAGCCAGCGCAACCCTACAACACCCAGAGCCCTGAGGAACCCCGGCCCAATCTCATTCTCGGAAGCTGCCTCGACAATGGAGCCGCGAAACATGGCCCACTCGGACTCAGTGCTCCGCATCAAATTCCTGGCCTCTTTGAACTTGACTGTAGAATAGCAGTACATAACCTCTGTAATTAATCATGAGTCAAGTCCGCTCAGTCTCTCAGCATGAATGACCACATGTAATAGGCAGAAAAGTTATGCCAGGACATTTTTTAACTTTAACTGAAGCCCCAACGGAACAAATGCTAACATAATATTCGTTTAGTTTTCCCATTGAAATATTGCATATAACTTTAGCTTAACATTTCAAATTGCCCTTAGGATTGAGTGTGAGTGTGTGTGGTTGTTCGTCTTTGTGTGTCTCTGTGTGGCCCTGCGATGGACTGGCAGACCGTCCAGGGTGTACCCCGCCTCTCGCCCATTGACTGCTGGGATAGACTCCAGTCCTTCCGTGACCCCATTTGGGAATAAGCGGTTTAGAAAATGAATGGATGGATGGAAGTTTAGCTTCACACTGGCTCTAAAGCGTGTGCACACCGTGTCTGTGTTGCTCAATCTCTGCGTCGTAGCTTTGCATGTGGATTCACGTAACTGACTTTTCTGTCGCTGCAGCTACCGACTGTAGTATTTAAAAAGTATAGGCCAATGGACTGATCAGTTTCAGTTAAATGACAGTTACATGACTATAGACACTGAAAGGAGGACAGAAAGGCACAAAAGCATTGAATTATGTCAATACCACATTGGGATGTTTTAAAACTACAACACACCTACTATTGTAATTACAACTCCATTATCTTTTTTTTTAATGAAAATTGCCCTAATAAAAGATATTCATCATTAAGACATTATAAAAATACTGATAAAGCATTTGTGGCATGTTTTTCATACCCTGGATCTACAGTAACAGTGCAGTTTGAGTCATGGCTCATATACCACACAGCCAAAGACCAGCACTGGGTGGGCCTTTCCTTTGGTGGAACCTGCGGCAAAATAAATATGATCGACCCTGGTGCGTATTTATCAAGTGCCAGGCATTTTTCCTCGCTGCACAGTTCAGATCTTCATCAACCCTTGCTTGTTGTAGCTTACAGGTAGCTATTTTTGATGTTGTCCATTTCTGTTATAAAGGACATCTGTGGCCGATTATCAGGTGTATGCAAGTAGCCAATATCCAGTGAGTCAGACTAACTAAGCCCCACGGGTGCTTAGATAAGGTTTATCTTAATTTTTCAGTTCTAACCAGGCTCAGTGGGGACTGACAGGTTCCCTCAGCGAGATTCACACAGATTATCCTTAACATTTGCCTGCTCCCCAAGAGGCACCCAGGCGAAGAGAGAAGGAGACCATCAAAAGGTAGACGAAAGGGTAAAACCAATACATTGAGCAGGAATAGGGCACCTCTTTGAGGAGGATGGCTATGAATCATGCTGCAGTTACTCACCGCTTATTATGAACATCCTGTACTGGCTAGATTGATCCTCTCTACCACCATTCACAAAATGTCATATAGTAGGGATGGAGTGGGAAAGGCTTCTGTGGCTGACCAACCAGCTGGATGAGAGAACACCCCAGGCGACTGAGCCTTCAAAATGGCTAGCTCTGCATTCTGCCAATGTGAAATCCTCCGTATAACAGGGATAAGGAGCTGGAAGTCTTGGAGCAAGGAGATAGTGAGCAGAAAATGATAGAGGAGCAGACAGTAAGTGGGATGGCAGAAAGGAATGACTTAAAAAAAAAAGCCAGTTGAAGAAGAAAAGGGGCATTTCAGCCATCTTCATATGCATCACAACACTTTGAGGTTTTTTATTCCTTTTTCTTAATTTAACAGATACAAACATTCAATTGACATGAATATTATGGATAAATTAAAGTATTCCAGTAGACATTTATTTTAATTTTAAATTTGTCGAATGTATGTAGTTACTGAGGTAAAGAGAGGAAAAAGTGCATGCATGTATGTGCAAGTGGAACATCTGACATGCTAATAGAAGGGACCGTGGTCGCCAACTGGTCTCCCGGCTCATGCCCATGACCATGTCCCACGGCATGGGCTTGTTCGCCCGGAGAGCTGCCTGGCACAGAGCAGCTCGGTCTTACCTCAGGTGCATGAAGGGGGAGAGACATGACTGAGCGCTGGGAGCGCTAACTGGTCTGGTCTGGTATGGTCTAGTTTGGCTGTGGTTGGGCTGTCTAGCATGGCTGGGCTTGGCAGCACTGGGGATCAGAAGATCACCACCACCTGCCAGCAGCCGGGGTTCTTCCATATGCTCGCTGGTGAATGTTCATGCCAGATTGCATGAACTGTGTCACATGAAGCCTCAGCATTTATTCTCTGAGCCTCTCTCCTGATAACACCATTACAGAACCACAAGTGTGTCAGGATGATATCAGAGCTTTTTTTTTTTTTTTGCTCCTTGTTATTTAATGTGCTATTCTCTCCATAAACAGGATATTGAGTCCTGGCAGCAGTGAGCATGTTGGATGTCTATCTTGTGTACATTCGCCAGTTCAGATGCAGTAGTAACATTATGCTGTACCATTTCAGCGAAAATGAGGCTGCTGATCCCCCTTTGACCTCAAATGTCAAACTCGATTTGTCAGTTGCAGTCATCGCTGTAAGTCCTCCTGAGTGTGTGTGTGTGTGTATATGTGTTTGTGTACCTGTCTGACTGACTGATCTGTGGCACATTCTGAACAGCTGAAGAGCTAATGGTCCAGCTGGAGACAGATGGCCTCTCGATAACACTATACCCCCGAGCCAATACTCACACTATCACTCTCTCACTCATACGCACACACACACCCATGAACCTACGCATGCATGCACACGCTTTCTGTCACACTCTGAACATACAGTCACACGCACATTGGATAGAATAGATTGTTAATCCATTATAAACCTGGAGGAAACCCATTCCTCAATATGAGTTTAATGTTTCATGGCAATTTCGAAACAATCTTTGGGCAACATTACGCGACAACTTTGGCTTCGTTCACGCACAAGGGGATAAAGGAAGTTAATAATCTCTCCCCTTTTCTGTAGTTCTCCAGTTTTTGTCACTTTGCCTCGTTATAGAGCAAATAGATGAGAGAATTCATCACTTCTTTATATTAGTCTTGAATGCAGAAAAATCTGCTGTCCACATGTAACACAAACTAGTTTTCCTTTTCTAAAAATGTTCATAAATAAATTTGATTGTACCTAGCCCTCTAAAAGGTGACGTACAGTATCGCTGAAATCTATCACTAAATATAAAAAACGGATCTGTGTTGACTCTCCACAGGGAACATGTGTCAGTCACATGCTTTTGCTCTGAGGTCATTCTGGCTCACAGATTGATAGGAGCTGATGGCAAACGCCTCCTTGTGATTCTTCAGCAACCTCTGACAACTCGCTGCTATTACAGTTTTCTGACTCCCAGGGGAAAAGAGAAGATGCATGTTTCTCCTAAGCTTTTCTTCATTAAGGACGCTAGTACTGCAGTCATGTGCTTTTAGTAGGCGTTCTTGTTGCTCCGATGTTTCTGCCACAGACCAAGAGACCAGCTCTCAGAAATTTCATTACCTCATTAAATCACTCCCAAATCATGTCCATATTCAAAGATTTACTCATCACCACTGCAGCTGTGCTGAATGCTGTTTGCTAAGCAGTCATCCCCTCAAGCATTTATCACTACCTTAATGGTGATTAGATGCATCCATTTGAAAATGGGGGTTGTTGCCAGTTAACCTCTGTGAGCACATCAATTGTTGTGCTAGATTCTTCAATTTCAAAATTTCTGGCATCGTTTTAAAGAATACATGCGAGGCAGCCGTTTAGGATTATGGAGGCAGGTGTAGATGCTGTTGGTTATACAGTCTCCAACATATGGGCTTGTCCTGTCCCATGTGTACATACCTGCCTCCGCTGCTGTCATCTAATTATGGAAAGCAAACAAAGCGATCTGCCTGCTGCGACAAGGCTGCTTCTCTGAGTTTTGATTGTTACACATCACATGGAAGTCTTCAACTGATTTAGATATTGTCACAAATTGTTTTTAGTAAAACCACAAAACAACACTTTCAATATGCTCATTACTGTTCTTGTTGCTGTCAGACTGTTGCTGTAATTTTATGTTATGGTGCCACATTGAAGCTGAACTGGATCAGTGCCCAAAAGGAAACAATATGAGCTTGTGGATGCCCTTAATGGATCTTAATTTTCTTTTTTTTTTCTTTTTAAAAAAATCCCTGAGATTACATAGAGTATTTCATGAACATGTTGAGTACATATAAATCTGAACTTAAAAGAGACAGGCCTTGTCCTGTTTTTCAAAAATTGACACAATGTCCTCAAGTCTTGATAAAATGTCTGTGACATGCTTTGGTGAAATTCCATAAAAATTAATTTTGATAGGTCGTTTTTCCAGCATGATACCCAAGTTCAAACAACCAGTCACAAAAATGACAAGGAAATACTGCTATAGGCACAAATCTGCTTTGAGTATTGAAATGTTCCGATTTGATGAAATATATTGACATAAGGCATTACGCACCCCTAGCAGGTTACTACATCCTTCAGAAAACACATAGTGATAGAACACTGACACCAGAAGCCTGGGCTTCACTATCATACCATTTTTATGTACTGTATTAAGTTTGACTTTGCGAACTTTGCTCACAAATATTACCTTTCACTGGACCTAAGTTTATATAAGTCATGCTGGACCTGCTAAAAGTACATTAAAAACAAACAGAAAAACAGAATTCCCAACTTTCAAATATTCAATGAACATTGAAGGTCAGATATCTTGGTTGGAATATAACACATGTATATACAACTTTAAGCAAACCTCTAAGAATATCAGTGTCTAATTTCTTCATGAGTTTTGTGGATTAAGAAACTGATCTGGCCACTTCTGGGGTGCAGTCGATGTGTCATGATTAGAGCTTGAAGGTTGGTGGAGATAAAAATGAGGAGGCGGGGTAATTCTACCTTGAGCTGAGAGTTTAAAAGGAAAAGGATCACCCGTCATCATGTCCATTTTAAGTTATTTAGAAATAAGTTGGACTTTTTTCTCTTAGGTTAGGAGAGAGTAACAGTATATTACAATGGTGCTGTTGTTGCATATGCTATAAAGATAATTTCATTTATATATTATTAAATATATTGCCACATGAGGTGTTGTGAATTTTGTTAATATTTCTTTAAATAAATGTTGTATTTATGTGAATTCCATGCAAGTCATTAACATTAATTTCCATGCAGATGGACTTTAAATTACAAGCATGTAAAATGTATTGTATTGTAGGCTGCTGAATAAACAACTTTGTTGTTCTTGCAGCTTATCTCTGTTAAGTCTGCCTCCATTTTAGCTTACCGTCAGGCGGAAGAATTCATTCATCATTTCGTAGTGTTGATTTTTATGTTAGAATTTTCAATAGTAATGAGCGTTTTGTTATGTAATTTGACATTGTTAATACATCTTATTGAATCTGACACAAAAACTAAATTAGTGTTTAAGAAAGGCATAACAGAATGACATTTGAAACTCCGGGGGATTAATTGACACAAATTACATTTGAGCAGCCCAGAAGGATGTGAGGGTAACTACAGAACAAAAATTATGCTCAGACTTAAAGTTCAAAGAGCTGATGTTTTCTCCTCTCTCCCTGTAGGGTTATGTGAGCAGAGTGGTGATCTGAGTCTGTGCGGGCTCGTTGATGCTGCTCTCCCTCCATCCTCCACATCTCCTCCTGCCGCAAAGACTACCAAACGCGCCTGCCCGTCACATCAGAGGACCGCTCATACATCACCATCCCTCACCCCGACCCTTGCCGCTGACCCCTGTCTGGACCACACGCTGGCCCGCTGCCCCCCTTCTGATGAGGCCGCGCCTGTAGCGCCCCACCTTCACCGTACTCCCACGTCACTTCCCACCGCAGCTGTAAGCTCCTGGGGCTCAACAGGAGACGCCCAGAAAACGTCCTCACCGCTTGCCCTCCCTCTCCCGTCTGCACTGATGGAGCCCGCTGCCGTGTCCGCCCTGACTGAGGAGTGTCTTCTTCAGCCTGCTCGAACATGTCTCGGCTGCTTCATCGAAACGCGTGATGCCACCGACCCGAATACCCTCCAGAACCCTTCCCACGACCCCAACACCAACCCTGACACAGACCCTGGGCTAAGTGTCCGGATAGGGGACGTAAGCCGTGAGGACTTCTCTGACATCAACAACATCAGCATCCAGTGCCTGAGCCATGCAGGGGAGGCGGTGAGTCATTATGGGGAACAGCTCCTCTCTGACCAGCTCCTCAGTTTTCCTCTGCCCAAAGCTTCGAGTGAGGGTAAGAGAGGAGATGAAAACAAAACCACAGAGGACTGTGATGACCCAGAAGATGACGCAACAGCTAAGAACTTGTATGAGGGATTGCTATTGGACAAAGTTAGTGGAGAGGAGGTTCTCTTGGCTAATGCTGGTCAGGACTGGGGCTACTTTGAGTCTTTTATCAGCGAGAGTAAAATGGAGCTGTTAGACCTCTGTTCTAAGAATGAACTATCAGTCAACCTTTTCTCTGAGGAGGACGTTGACAATCTGTTTGATGATGAGGACGATGATTCCACATTAAGCAGTGATGTCTGTTCGCTTAAGATTCGTTACGAGTCTTTCCAGGACAACATGAGGGAAAAAACTAATGTGCTCCAGGAGGAGACACAGTTCAACTTCTTCCCCAGCGTCCTGGCTAACTGTGCCAAGAAAGAGGAGGGTGCGTCAGTCTTGAGGAGAAGTACTGAGGAGCTACAGCCCAAAACTGATGAGCTCATCATGGAGGCTGCACAGGATGGGAAAGCTGGGGACATCAGTGGTAGGAGCCCACTCGATGGCTCTCAAGGCTCCCCCATGTCCACCTCCAAAGTCAGCTACCTAATAGACTTCAATTCGACAGAGGAGTCAGGGGAGTTCAGTGATGACAGCTCCTGCACTGGCTCCTCACTAGACACCATGCAGGAGGGCAAGTTTAAAAAGGGTCACTCGAAACGATTTCACAGCCCCTCAAACCCTCTTAATTACGGATTGCGCTCAAAGAGAAAGGTCCGGTACAGTGATGATTACTTATATGATGTAGACTCGCTTGAGAATGAAAAAAATGCAGAGAAAAAGGAGAAAGCTCCCTCTGGTCAGAAAGAAGAGGAGGATGTAGACTGGTGCCCCAAAAAACGTCGAAAATCCTGTCGCAAAGAGCCACCCGTGGTCATCAAGTACATCATCATCAACAGGTTCAAAGGAGAGAGACTCATGTCAGTGAAACTGGGCAAGCTGGACCCTGTGGATGCAACTGTGAGCTTAAATGCCGACACAGTGAGCAAATACGAGACACTGGCTCCTCTGAAGGATTTCTGGCAGGAGAAGCAAAGGGAGAGACAGGAACAGCTTAAGCTGGCTGCCAGAGATAAACAGCAACGTGGTTTTCATCTAAACGGACGCCATCATCGCCCTTTCAATTCAAGTCATCCCAAAAGGAAATACAAGATTGCAAACAGGCTTAAGGTTCAGAGGATTCACACTGTGGAGCAATCAGCAACAGCACAGGGCTCCCCTCTTTCTGATCAGGGCCAGGGTGGTGTCACTAAAGAGGAGGCCACCCCCACGGTAGGAGGAATAATAGCGGCCCCAGGCCTCCCGGTCACATTAGACACAAACTCTATCACATACACAGTCACAGCCAAGAGCCGCTCCCAGGAGAGGGAGGAGAGGGAGGGGAGGAGATTGGGTGGAAATAAAACAGTCAGGATAAGGAAATTCAAAAGCGAAGCCAGGCTGAGGAGCAAGAAAATGAAAGAGGCAGAAGCAAAGGAGGGGAGGAGCGTGACAAATGAAACGGATGCCTGTGTCACTGCGACAGAGACAGAGGATTCTACTGCTGGGTTAGAACAGGCAGGCATTAGTTCAACCACAGTCAAATCCCATTTCTCTGACAATACCACCACTGCTCGTGCATCTGAGGAGAAATTCCCCTTTGTTTCATCCACCTGCTCCTCTGACAAAGCACCTTCCTCGGAGGAGGTGGAGGCAGGTGTCCCTGTCATCCCAGGAGGTTACCTGCAGACCCTGCTAGATGCTACAGACTCCTCTGGAGGAGCGGCTATCTCCTATTTTTCCCAGCAGTCCTCTCGGCAGCAGTATTCTCTGGGACTGTCCCTGGAGGAAAAACAGTTTGCCTCTCTTCAGCTTGCTCAGAGCTGTGTCCTCTCCCCTCCCTCCGAGTCTGAGCTCCAGCAGTCTCCCCAGAACTGCCCCAGCTTCCCCCAGATGTGGCACCCGCAGATCTGCGGAAATCACAGCCAGAGCTTTGGGCCTGAAACCCCCGAGACTCCCATCTTACCCAACAACTTCCCTGCTGCTGTGCCTCTGAATGACACCCTGCCAGTGTCTAACTACAGCCAGCTGAGCCCTGAGGCTGACAGGCTGCTTTATGAGAAGAGCTACCTGACTGAGGCGGGGCTGCAGCCTGGGGGAGATCTGCAAGTGTGTCAGTCTGCTTGTGTGGAGGGCCAGGTGCAATACCAGAGAGGGTCCCTGTGCACAGACAATGGTAGGCTCATCAGCTATGACTCAGTGGGCTCTCTGTCAGCCTCCTCCAGCAATTACAGCTCTCTCAGCCTCAAGTCTTGTGAGCGAGAGGGTGAGGAGGAGGGACGAGACAGCTTCTTAGCTCATTGCAGTCCTAAAGTGGTGATTCAGCAGAGTGTGGATGCCCTTACCCCACTCAGGGAGTCCTCAGATCTGCTGGATATCTCCAACTTCACTCCCGACAAGTTCAGACACTCATCACTTTCAGAGCTTTCCCCTCCCGAGACCCCCAACCTGTCTCCACAGGTGGTGGGACGTGAAATGAAGATGGCAGGAAACGCAGGAGAATACCAGGATGTTAGCGATATGAATATGGACTGCAACAGGGAGGTCAAATGGAACTGTGATACTGTACAGCAACAGGAGCACACAGCAAATGCATACACCGTGGAGGAAAGTCAGTTTCCACTGCACAATTTCAACAGTCGGGATGTGATAGGTCTAGACAAGAAGGAGCTGGGAGGAACCGAATTTGATGAACAGGCCGGTGAGATTTTGGCTGGAGCGAAAAGCATAAAGTCAAAGAGGAAAGGCAGCTGCAAACAGATGGCTGCAGGACAGAGCCCGAAGAAGGTGCGGGCTCCGAGAGCTCCTAAGTCAGAGAAAGTCAAGACTCCCAAACAGAACTCGCGTTCCACCAAAAAGATAAAAGCTATGTTAGAGGGTAAGGCTGCAAAGAACCAGGCAGGTGGTTGCGGCACAGGCTTGACTGACAGTAGCACCGCCAGGGACTGGACTGGCACCGGCTGGTCAGAGAGCAACAGCTTGGTAGGGGATGACCAGAGAGAATTTGAGGAGCCCTCCAATATTCTATCTAACATTGTCTCCGGCATGGCTGAGGTCCAAAGGTTCATGATGGCTTCCATTGAGCCACTGTGGAATCCTATGTCAGAGGCCTGCATGCCCCCTGAGGCCAATAGCCTCAACCTAAAGACCCTCAAAATCTTGGCAGGAACAGAAGCTGACCTGAAGAAGAAAGGAGCTGTGCTAACAGGAGCTGGCAGAGGCAGAAAGGCAGGGGGAAAGGGAGGGAAAAACCAGGCCAAATTCAACCCCACTCATCCCTTGTTCCCTCAGCTAGCACTGGGCTGCAACATGTTTGATAAACCCAACTTTATTAACCCAGGGCCCGCGCACAAAAAGCTGTACCGCCACAAGACCAGCGCAAAGTTCCCTCGGATTGAGACACTGAAGGGAAAGCGAGCTGAGAGAGACCCAAATAAGGACATAGCACTGATGACCTCTTTTGAGAAACTGAGGTAATATTTTGTTATCAGCTGCTGTTTCTTCCCCTTTCTCACTCCCCCCCTCCACCTGCTCAGCCCTCCCTCCCAGACATACCCACACTGACGCTATGCCAGAAGTGCATGAGTACTATGTTTCCCCTGATTCCTCCCACTTCCTTTTGTCCCCCCCCTTCCCCCGAAGAGGAAATTATTATCTGCATGACAAACTTCTTGTACTTTGCAAACTACCTATTGAGTGATTGTGTCAAGCTTGATTGAGATCTGAAACGACCATGGCTGAATTTTTTTCTTGCTTTTGTTGTTTCTGCTTTGTTTGTTCTTCTTATAGTCGTTTTTTTGTTTTACTTTTGTCTGAAAAAAAAAAGAGAATACGCCTTGAAAACAAGCTCTGTCGCCTTTTTTGAGGAACTTTTTTGTTTTGTTTTTTTGCATTTTTACAGCAGAACTTGCTCCCCTGAATTATATATTTATTTCCCTTTTCCCCTAAAGATGTAGCTATATACACAAATGCATTGAGTGACTTCTACGTCCCCCCCCCCTCCTCATCTGTTTTTGTATGCAGAAAATGGATGTCCTGTTGTTGCTGTCCTTCATGCACTGCCTGGCTCATTTCAAGAGGGAAACCTTCAGTTAATGAGCCGTATTTAAGCCCAAGACATCCTAAACACACGAGATGGGACCATTTTGTATTGATGACATATCAGATATTGTCTTTTTTTCCCCTCAAAGTTGGAATGACTCCCTGTTTTCTTTTATCAAGCATTACTTCTTTTCCTGAAGGTCAGAGGAACTGGTTATCAAAACTTACATTTTTACGCCTTGCAAATTCATAAAAGCTCCACCCTCAGAGTATTTTTGTCTATGTTGTTGTACAGGGACATGCAATATTTGCAAAAAAAAGAAAAAAAGATGATTATAATCATAAAATCAATGTGCCAAAAGTAACAATGCTGTGTAAATGACCTCTTATATATGTGTGAATATTGGCTGTTCCTCTTTTCTATCCATTGGAATATTGGCTGCTCGGGTTGGAGGCTACTTGCAAAGACTCGCAACTACAGGAATTCTTGGAGACTATTTCTCTCTTCTCTGATGAAAGGCACCAACAGCTGGCAGTGGTACACCACCACTCACTAAACCAAATCAGAAAGACTGTGAATTATTCTCGTTTTCCCCACTTTGTTTGCCAAATTCAATTTACCTCAACATCGTGTGGCACTGAGAAGCAAAAAAACAAAAAGAGGTAATGGGGAGATCTGCTCTGAAGGCCACTGTGGAAGATGGAGATGGCGAAAAAAAAGAGAAGTTCAATTGAGCTCTCTCTGGACCAAGGGGAGTGTAGTGCAGATGTCTGAGGGTAAGCGAGGGAATTATTTGATATTTGGGGCTGGGCCTCACTGAATAGCTGTTTGTACTGGAAATTTAAGGCAGATTATTACCCATTGAGATTCTGATGCATGCATCAGCTTTGAATGGACATTTTTGCAGTTTGGTTTATTGTGAATGTGACAGCAGTTTTCAGTACAAATGGAATCAGTAGTCTTGTAAATGAAGGAAAGCATGTCTTTGCATCCGCTCCACATGGAAGTTTTACTATCTTAACTGAAATGATCATTTAAATGATAACTTTTGTTGACATTTTCATGTTGTTTTAGTGCATACCACTGCCTTACTTTATAGGTTTCACCTCTGGTGACTCATATTTTTTTGGTTCACATAATGTCCACATTTACCTTAATTCTCTGTTTACAGTGTACTTTTTATTTGCATGTCTGTACCTGTCCTCTCAGTTTGAATGGATCAATATTTTGGCAGATAATCCTGTGACCAGTAATTCATGGCCACAAATAGAAGGGCACAAATAAACAAACAACAAAAAGAGGGGAAAAATGTATTGCTGTGATCTGATCCAGTGTAGTCCCCACATCACTGCTATCAGTTTCTTTGGGCTCATTCACTACCTCAGAGCACTGAAATAAACTTCTAAAAATCCACCTTAAAATGGACCATACAATCATACATGACCAGTTATGAAATCTGAAGATTTCATAACTGAAAGGGTTTCAGGAGAAATGCAGAGCCAATCAAACAATTAAAGAGTCTTTTTAAAATATGAACTCAAATAAGGCCTATATCTTCTCTCTTTTGAACGATGATATCATTTTTTAACATAGAGGTATTTACATGAGACTGCATGAACATATGCAGGCAAATTGATTGATTGATTTGAGAACAGGCCTTGTCACACTGGATATGGCAATTCTGACACACAGGTTATGGTAATTGATTGCTTGCATAAGGCAAGAATCATAATCAATCTTTCTGTGTCTCTTTTTTCTCTATTCTCTGCCATGATCCTTTGTTTCTTTTCTATAGCGTATCAGGGTTAGGACCAAGACAAGCTGCTGATGGGAAGCTTCATATGGGCTGCACGCCCATTTAGTCTGCCTTCTCTCATTTCTGCCTATTGTCAAATTGAATGTACTTCTCTCAGTTCATTTTTCTTTTCTCCTTTTAATCTTTTTTCTGTTTCTAAAATGTGCCACTGTTCAGCTGCCTCATGTTAATGGTGCTAAGAAAGCTGTCAATTTTTTTGTTTTGTTTGTTTTTGGGTTTTTTCCTGTTTGTTTTTCATTTGGAATCTTTTCTGTTTGTTTTCCCAGAGTTAATAAAAGAAGAAATGCAAAATAGATTAGGTACCTAACCCTCTTTATGAATGTATATTATAATGATATGTTTGATGTATTCACTTCATGATTCTTTGACACTGATTGGAATTACTTTCACTGTTTTCATTAAAAGATTACCGAGCTTTATATATACTGTCTAGAGTTGTTACAAGAAGGAATCTTAATGAACTCTTGACACTACAAAATCTTGTATATTTTTTGTGTGCCAATTTGTAACATATTTTGTAAGTGTATATTTTTCTTAGAAAGTGCTGTGAAGTATTTGTGTGTGTGAGTAACCTTTTATGCGCCTCTATGGGCAGTGGAAAGGATATACAGTGACAAGTTTCTGGTTTTAAAAACCAAAATATGAAAGTATCAACAGAAAACTAGAAATATTTACATTTTGTTGGGAGTTTTGTAATAAGACCATGATCTTGTTGTGAGAGTGTTGTGTTACTGTGCAAAACACAAATAAGCAAAGAAAAAAATGAAAACTTGGAAAAAAATATAATTTGTGAACAATTTGCTGTTTTATAGATTTTCATGTAAATTATTTGAGTATTATTTTGTTTTTTGTTTTGTTGTAATTGTTGCAAAGGTTTTAAATATTTGTGATCAAGCCTGTATGGTGATAATGTAATATTGGTAACTTGCTGAGTTTTGTAATAATGTTTATGGAGTAAATATACAAATTAAAATAAGATTTTGAATGCTGCTTTCTGAAGAGAGTTGGGTTGTGTTTTTTACGGCCCACTAATTACTGTTGCTAAGACCTTTAAGACATTATATTACAGTGCAGACAAACTCCTCATACGATTGACTTCACTGCAAACAATTCCAGCCGATCCAAAGTGAAAAGATAAATATTATTAGAAAAATGGTGATAAAACCTTACAATTAGAACAACTGTTTTCCAGATGCGAGGCTTGAAAGATAAGTATCATAACTGTTAAGTAAATATTCTTCCATCTTTCTGGTACAATCATGACAATATTAGATGTGGAAATCTATTCTTCTCTGCTCTGTGTTTGCTCATGCCATGGAATGTGTAAATCTAAAAACAACCTTAATATTTCCAATTAGTCTATCCATGTTTGTTATAGTGGAAGATTCTTAGACGAAAGTCTTTTTAATTTCTTTACAAGTCTGGCTTCAGCTCATGTTATTTTAATGTCACATCTAATTAGCACTCAGGGTCAGGCATTGCTGGAGTGACTGTTCATCCATAAATCTGAGCTGGGCTGCTGTGGTCCACACTGCAACTCATCCTGGCATGCTTAATTGGAGCCCGAGATACAGTCTTGCACCGTAAACAGATCCTCTGATGTCTGCCTCCAAATTTGTCAGCTGGTATTAGCATTGTTTTTGTTCTTTAGTCACCCGTAGCAGATAAGGGAGTGAGCAAATTATAAGATGGAAAGTGTAACGCAGTAGACTGAGTACACCTGTAGGTATTAAATGAGATCCTGCCTGTTTCACGTGTATTTCACAGAAAGATGTAAGCAACTCTGTCATTAAAACAACTGTTTTTTAAGAGGACGAAAGCAGATGGACATTTTCAAAGATCTTGTATATCAAAGGGTTGAAACCTACAAACCTTATAATAATTCAGTATGTTTTCATAACGCTGGTAAATTTATTGTAATAAAAAAAAGTATATTGAGACTAAGCTGATATTCTCAATATATAGAAATGTTTTTTTACATCCTCAACATAATCCTGTTTGAACGTTCGAATCACCATTCTAAACAACAGCTTTTCAATGGGCGTCTGCAACTTTACTGCAGAATATCAGGTACAAAAGAGGGTTTACCTTCTTCCCCACCAGCACTTGCCTTTAATAAGGATATAATAGTCTGTGCCCAATAACCACTGGTAAAGCGGAATTTCTTATTTATAACAGAAAAGATAAGAGATCAATTCGAGAAGTAACCCTGGTGAGGTCAGTTATTCTGGCCAGCCCCATTTTACATCACTCCTCAAAACCGCACCTCAAACATTGAATGCAGATATTTATTTAATGAAAAGTCAAAGAACATGCTTAACTTTTCTTTTCAATCATGTTTCAGGTATGAGTGTTAGTAGTTATGAAAAGCAATAACAAAGGACACCTTAAACTAGCCAAGCAAAATTCCTGGATATGGGAAAAATGTCCAGTTCCAAGTCTTATCTTTCAAGGTTGACTGAATTTACCTGAGGTGCTTTCCACTGCTATGCAATCCTGCAAGGTTTCATTAGGCGTCTCACTGTTTCAGGTCTATCTGTCTTCCTTGAACACATAATTGGTATGAAATATTTTGCTCATGTTTAAGAGCTACACTGTGAATTGACACATTTTAGTCAACACTTATATTAACTTTAGAATTCAGTATCACACCATTACATCAACATCTAATGAGATTGAGGTACAACTGTGTTTGAATCATAAACTTTACATTTTGAACAATGTAACGGGTTGTTCAAGTCCTTGGTAATATTCCCTAATAATATGACTAATGACATCATACCATAAGACATTTTCCCCATAGTACAGTATATTATTAAAGATACATCTATATTATAATGTGGAAGAGGGCAGTCAAACAATGTGTAAAACACGTATCGAATTGTATCAAGATTTTTGATTTATAATTCAATATAGGGTGAAATTTAAAACCCATCATGTCTTACTAGCCCAAACTAAAAAATAAATAAATAAAAACAGCTGAAAACCAAAATTAAGGTAATCACTGGAAGTGATGGATTGAATTTCTAAATAAAAGTACGGCACTTGCATTTACAGCCGCACTGTGCCGCTGCAGCTATCTAGCAGCACTCTTCCTCAAAACAAACATCCTTTCTCTGTTGCTATTGTATGGTCTAAGGAGCATTTAAACCCAAAGTTCAGTCTTACAGGCAATAGCCCTCGTTACATTCTGTAAAACTGGAAACTCGAAATGAATCACTGAGATTTCAGATCTGCAACAAATTATATGTATCAAACCAAAATAATGTTGATTTGTCACATTTGTTTGACCTTAATATAATAGCAAGAATGCAGTGTTTGTGTCTACCTGGCATAATAAAACCAGGGGAAAATAACAGAGCTGTCGTTTCCGGAAGATCCTTGCAGTCTTCCTACAAGAAAGAAAATGGAACCCTGAGATCGCGTTCAGCTAAACCGTCAATCCCCTTTTTCAGATAATCTCGAACGAACAACGGCTTTGTCCGATTCAATTGCCAGTAACGTCACCGAAAAGGTAACGTGTCAGATGTTTTGTGATAGATGTTATTTAGCTTCTGACTAACTTTATTCTGCTTACTCTGATCAGTCACTGTATGTGAACGTCACTGGTTGACGTCGTTAGCTTGCAGTAATGCTAATAGTAGCAATGTGTTTTTAATGATACGGATTAACGCCCAAACACACGGGATGATACAGTTTGTTCACTACACAGTGTTTCAAATAATTGTATTGCTGATCAATGGCAAAGTTTAATCGAATTGATTGTCTTTATATACTGTGGCAGATTTACAGTTAGGTAAGATCAGATACCCACCGAAGTTTGAAAGCTAACCAGGTTTAGCCTACCATAATGGAGTTCGTTCAGCACTTTTTTTTGTAACCTGAATTGACTAACTATGGGAATTCTCTTCCGTTTGACAGATGATAATATAAACACGTAGACTATTTACACACTATGTTTACTTTTTGTATTTATGAAAATGATAGAAGTTGTCATCTTTAGCAACGTTTAGCAATGCTAATTGGTAGCCTGGAAACGTAAGCTAAGCTATACGATGCCATTTTGTTTTTATCTCGACTTTGACCAACATACTGGCTCTCACCGGGCCTCTAAGCAAAATGAAATAATTACGTTAGTTAATTGGTTTATATTGTATTTGAAAAGACACTATTTCGTTTACAAAACCATATATTTTGAGCGACTGTAAACCCAGTTAGTCGGTATGCTAGTTTTTCTGGTAGCTTTTATTGTAACGGTAGCATGTCAGTTTTCTTTTAAAACCACTGGACTTGAGCTGTGTGAAAATTAGCTAAACGTGCGTTTATCATGAAGTCATATTGTAGTCTTAGTTTCGTTACTGGTCGTGCACAACTTATGGAAAGTACTCAGTATTGGTATTTAATGTTGTCGGTTGCGAATGCATTACTACATAATATTTTTCTCGTCTACAGCATTTGGATCTTGCGGAAAGTTAGACAGCATCCCTTGGACATCCTCTCCCTTCTGAGTCAATGGAAGGGTCTGACAGTGTAGAGCAGGGTGGCAATGACCAGCCGGAGTCACAACGCAGAAGGCAGCTTGATCGGCTGGACAGAGAGGAGGCCTTCTACCAGTTTGTCAACAATCTCAGTGATGACGACTATCGTCTTATGAGGGACAATAATCTTTTGGGCAATCCAGGTAATAAACCTTTCTGTTAATGAGTGACGCTTGTCAACTTATTTCTACATGGCTGAATTCCCTGCTTCCTTTTCAATGTTACACATAGTTTGACCCAGAAAAGATGAAAACGGCTCTGATCTAACTTTGTTGTTTTAATGGGAGTAATTTTAATGTGTCTGTTTATACAAGTTGAACGATTCTGCATTTGACTGATCTAACGTAAGGATGTTCATATGGTTTGGGCTGAATTTTATTGGTTTTATCTGTCCTAAATAATGCGATCGAGGTCATTTTAAAACGGCTGATTACTGTTGTGTTCAAATGAGGAGAGTTGCACATTTCAAGCAAAACTAAACCTGAATGTATGTAAAGTAGTTAACCAAATATCACACACATTGTAGAAGGCAGCTGTAACCGTTTGGATAAATGATTGTGAGCTTACCGCAAGCTCTGCTTGATAGGTTACTTAATGGTGAGGTCTCAACATATTTTTGTGAAACACATTGCTTCTGGAGCAGTGGTATGCGCAAATGCTGCAGGGATGTACTACCTGGTCTTCCAGTACCTACTTTGGAACATCAGTGGGTGTGACCCTGTGGAATACAGCAGGGAATATTCCAAAGTATCTGTTATTCACATTGATTTAGAGTCCATGCTTGTGAAATGGGTGGCTAATTATCCCATTTTTGTCACCTATTTTCTGCTTTAAACTCTATCTTTACCATTGTAGGTATTCTAAATACAGTTAATTTTGGCTTCAACACAAAAGTTCTCAAGGACCTCACCATTGCCTGCCTATGATGCGCTTTAAAGAAAACCAGGAAATCTTCTATTTCAAAGTGCTTTAATGAAAGGCAACAATTGGGTTGAAATGTCTACATGTTCTTCTGAACGTGTCCAGTATTATTGTGTGAAAATATGTTGGATCATCAACTGGCCATACTTTCAGAAAGTCACTTGAATCCAATCTGTCTTTTAAACCACTTTGTCCCTAAATAGTCACACCGACACTCGTGAACTAGCTATCCAGGCCTTTGTGTTGAAATAAGATTAGTAAAACGACAAATTGGGTGGAGATAAAGTCTCCACAATGGTTTGGGATTTTGTGGAAAAGAATTTGTATTAACCCCAACGTAAGTCAGTTGTTGGATTTTCTGCTTATTTTCCCCTCCTTTTCACAACTATTTGTGGCTTTCTTCTTCTTTCATCATACTTGTGCTTGTGTTCCCGAATATTCTTGAATGCAACTGCCTGTGGACAGTCGAAGATGTCCGATCTGTTTCTTTCCCTGGACATTAGGAGGGGAATGTAAGGTTGGAGCACTCTTCAAGGAGAGGGCATTGACTGTACGGTGGCATGCCCTGGTAAGTCTGGAAGCTTTCAGTATTGTCCTGTTGCTGTGTTCAAAGAAAACCAGCCAGCGCAGTACACTACTCAACGAGGGCCTTTGTTACATATTTTTACGTCACATTTACCTACCAGACATGTAGCCGAATGTAGTGTCTTCCAGCCAACTTATTTTCCTCTGTGTTTTATTCCAGATTGTTTTTTTATTATTGGAAGTGCAGCTGTCATTTTCTCCCAGCCATGCCTTTCTACCTGCAGGTCACTAGAGAAGAGCAAGTGAATTTAACCCCTATTGACCCCCAAGAAATTATGGTGGATTTACAAAAAAAGACAACTTTTCTTATCTTATAAGAATTTTTGTATAATCTCTTTCAGGAGAAGTGACGGAGGATGAGCTGTTTAGTAGACTTCAGCAAATCAAAGATGGCCCTGTGCAGCAGAACACCAACCCAACTACTGAGAGTAGTGAAGATCCCGTTGGTAGGTTTTTTTCTGTCTTCCATTTGAAGTGTTTGGTTAACAGTTTGATGAGATTTATCAGTTGTTCATTCTCTCGATTGTTCAGAACAACCAGAGCCCTCTGAGGATCCTGCTGGTGGGGATAGCCTCTTGGACTGGCTCAACACAGTTCGGCGCACTGGCAACACAACCAGAACTGGTCATCGTGGAAACCAGTCATGGAGGGCTGTAAGTCAGACCAACCCGAATAGTGGTGATTTTCGCTTCAGCCTGGAAATTAGTGTGAACCGCAACCTGGCTGAACAGCAGGCAGCTGCCGAACGGGAGCAGGAGCAAGAGCGGGAGCAAGAACAAGGGCGGGAGCCAGAGCCAGAGCCGGAGCCGGAGCCAGTGCCGGAGCCGGAACAAGGGCGGGAGCAAGAGCAGGAGCCGGAGGCCCCTGGACAAGCACCCGAGGTCCAAGAGGTACTGACAAATCCTGAACCGCAGGTTCCAATGGAGACCGAGGTGGTGGAAGAACCAGTTGTGGAGGAGTTGGCTGTTATTGTCGAGCCAGAGCCTGAGCCTGAGCCTCAGCAGGTTGTTTCACCAGAGGTGGTAGAGGGGCCTCCCAGCCCACCTGTGGTGCTGCCAGCACAACCCCCGCCGTGTCCGTCCCCACGTAGAGGACAAAGGAGGGCCCGCAGCCGTAGTCCTGAACCCCGCAGGACTAGAGCACGAATAGCCAGGAGCCGCTCCCCTCTCAACCTGGATCAGCTCGACGGGTTACCCACCCCACGACATGCTTACCCCTCTCAAAGCCCCAGCTCTTCCTTTAATGTCCCCCCCGTGCCTCTGGTGGAGGGCAGCTCCCGGACTCGACAGCACGTTCTTTCCAGACAAAGCACAGCTGAGAGTGATGCTCAGCCACCCAGGGCTGGTGTAGAACCAGTCCCAGAGGCCCAGAATGTCGGCTCTCAGGAAGGAGAGACTGCGGGCGTTGAAGGGGGCGCAGCAGGGCGCCGCCCCCCGACAATAATGCTCGATCTTCAGGTGCGTCGCGTGCGCCCAGGCGAATACCGGCAGAGAGACAGCATCGCCAGCCGCACCCGCTCACGCTCCCAGAACTCAAACAACACATTTCTTTACGAGAGCGAGCGCGGCGGTTTTCGCAGGACGTTCTCGCGCTCGGAGCGTGCAGGTGTGCGGACCTACGTCAGCACGATCCGAATCCCCATCCGCCGAATCTCCGACGCCGGCCTGGGAGAGGCCACCTCAATGGCTCTCCAGTCTATGATAAGGCAGATCATGACGGGCTTTGGGGAGCTGGGCTACCTCATGGATTCAGACTCGGATTCTTCAGATTCCAACCGCGGAGCAAGCACGCCCGCAGACTTGGAAACCCTTAACAATCCGGAGGTTAATCATTCTGACGCTCCTGCCGCCGAGGCGGAGGAGCAGCCGGTTGCTGCTGAGGGCCGGGGCAGGACAGTTGAGAGCGAGGCGGATGAGGGCCTGGCCACCGGCCCGCAGGTCCTGGGCGGCAGGGCTCGCCCGCGGCCACCCATCAACCTGGAGGAGCCCAGCTCGCTGCCCTTCCTGCGCCTCGCCCACTTCTTCCTCCTCAACGACGACGACGACGACCAGCCTCAGGGACTGACCAAAGAGCAGATCGACAACCTCTCCATGCGCAACTTTGGGGAGAGTGATGCCTTGAAGACCTGCAGCGTCTGCATAACGGAGTACGCAGAGGGGAACAAGCTGCGGAAGCTGCCCTGCTCTCACGAGTACCACGTGCACTGCATAGACCGCTGGCTGTCGGAGAACTCCACCTGCCCCATCTGCCGCAGGGCTGTCCTCGTATCGGCCAACCGAGAGAGTGTGGTGTAACTCCTAAGAGACAGCAGGCCTTTTTATTTTCTTTGCTTTTATTTTCAAAGTAAAAACCCAAGTCATATGAGATCCTTTGAAAACGCATCTCCATTGTTGAAATGCCTTTTCTTCACGCTGTTGGTGAGTTTGATCATCATGTCAACTGTTTAATTTGGGATGCTCCATCCCCCTGACACCAAGACATGCTACGGTTGTAGTTAGACCTTTTAACTATTTCTGTCCAAAAGCTGGGCACAGATAATGCATGCTGTTGATCAACCTTTTGCGACCATGCGGTGTTGCATTGCACAGTTGCCGTGCACACAGGCAGACCTATGTATCAAAATGAACCCTCTTATAATAAATGCTACACACCTGCAGGTTGCTCAGGCACTTCAAAATGAATCGTTTGTGTTTAATCCAGAATTTACTTAAATACCATAAGTTGGAAATGGGCACAGTTCTTAATCACATCAAGTCAAAGTATTAGCTGTAAATAAGCTTGTTCAAATTTGGAGTCATTCTTTGTATCACTGAGTGGGTTTTGGTGGAGACTGTAAATTCTCATGTACACATCTCGGTAGCGTTGGCTGCATTCCCATAAAGCATCCATACATTTAGGAATGGGTGGCAGAAACATTCTCAGCAGAGTTATTGCGAGCGCTTGATGTCCAAAGGATGGAGCGCAGAAATCGGTTTGCGGTGTAACTTGTACTCACTCTTTCTTTCAGAAAAAAAATCAGTGTTATACTGGCATGAAGAAAACAAATCAAACTTTTTTTACTACTGGAATCCTGACGCCTTTGTATTGTTTTTTTTATTATTGTTACAGTGATGCAGAAGGAAAATGAGAAATGGCAATGTCTCAGCGTTGGTAATAGATGCTAGGTTGATTCCAACCAAACCATGAAAGGACTTCTTTTTTTTTTCCTGGTTTACAGTGATCCCGCAATCATCCATGCTTAATCATCTGTTCTCAGCTGGCTAGTTTTACTCCTTTGACTTTTTTCTCCCACTATCATACAATGTCTATTATATCAACAGTTTGAAATGACTAGAGATGGATTTTAAACATGTGATTTACCTCCGTAGACCCAACAAGAGACCTTTCTTAAACTGTTGGCCCAACTAACTGGGAAAGAGTTACTGCCTAATTTATTACCGTTACCCCCAGAGGTTTACAATATTCACATCACTGTCTTTTAGTCCCAGCTCTCAGCATAAAGTCATGACATTTGCCCAGTGATCCCGCTTACTGCCTCACGAGCAAGTGCTCCGAACCGGTGTGCAATACGTGCAAAAGGTGGGCACTTACAGACCACAATATAAATGTACGGTATACTATTGTTAAAAATGGTTGTTTATGGCTAAAATCGTAAATGAAGACTTATTACCCTTTACAGTATGTGTTGAAGTTCATTTTATTTAGACGTTCCGTAGGCTTTTACTGTTGTTGATGAGCAGGATCACTGGCTGAAGGAAGAAAAGGGCATCGCTGTTAATGCCATCCTGTCATGTTTCTTGTTCCACTGTTTGATGTCTTAGCCATAATTATTACCTCCCAGTATGGGACATAACAATTTGAGAGCAAAAAGTTGTTTAATACTATACACGTGTAAATGAAATGTACGTTTCCTGGGAGGCGAAGCTTCACGTTTTGCTTCGTTCTGTGACCCACCCAGTGCGGTATGTTAACTGGGTGTTGAATGAAACTAACCGCTGAATTAAACTAAGTTGTCATGCTATGTAGTTATGCATCACAGGTATGTTCTCTGTGCTCTTCTTCATGTGCTGCATGCAGGGGACACATGGCATATTCCATTTGTTTTGTTTTTTTCTACAGATTTACTTATCTTTTATTTGAAAGAGATGGTCTTATTATATTCCAGTGGTCACTTTGATGATGCTTTTAAGAGCAACAATACGGTTTATGTTGCCCTTCAGGAAGAGCCCAAGTCAACCACACTCAGGCTGCACAATGCAACACAAAATATGCCTGTTGTCTACCCCCCCCCCCACAAAAAATGTTCTTTTTTTCCTTTTTCAGAATGCTTCAAAGGGCAAATATGGAAGCGCAGAGTAAATGGGATTTCTAAAACAAACACCTGCAGAAGTTTAACTATGCAGATGATTCTCTAGTTAAAAGGGCGTGCGTAATGAGCTGTTGTTTCTGATTGATTGGTGAGAAACTGCTGAGACAAGAGACTGGTCAGGATAATAAAGTGGATTTCAATGGGTGAATGTGTTGATTACTCTCAGATGTGTCTGAAAAATTGAATAAAATGTATAAGGCTTTATGTTTAAAACTCAGTACGTGTAGGTACAAAGAACTCACGGCGATATGTGATACAGTAAAGCACAAAGGAATAAATGAGCCTGGATTAAATCCAGAACGGCTAAAGGTCAACTTCTGCTGGGGCTTATTAAGGAAAGCGAGGTTAAGCAGAATGGTCGTGGATTGACGCGTTCCATGTGCCTTTGGAGAGGAGTGGAGTTCTTGATGGCCAGTAAAAGGAAGCCAGCACACATCCACAGCCACCGGGAGGAAGCTGAGATCAGAACCTGTGACAAAAGTGACAACCTGAGCTCTTTTCCTCATTCAAGCCATCAAGGGACAGAGTGACTAAGTAGTGATTGTGTATCTGTTTTATTTAAAGCTGAGTCTCATGGTTGAGTGCTCCAATTCATCAATAATTCATTAATCTCCATCTCCAGATTTAAAAATAGCTAGTGACACTTGTTTAATATTTTAGAAATTTGATATATTTTAGAAATATTTTAAGAGCCATTATCAGTTGTTTTTTTTCCGGGGTTGTAAAAATAACTTAACGTGTTGACTTGTTTACAGCCCCCCAAGAAAGAAAGAAACTTAAGTAATTAGCATTGGAATGCTGGTTTATGGTACAAAACCGTCCCGGTATTGGGATTAAGGCCGAACTAAGTGGCCGGAGAAGCGGACAACGGCCGGCCGTCCCTGTGGCCCTCAGCCGGCCCTGCAGGAGCTGCTAACTGACCTTTAGAGAAGGAATGGCCAGGCAGCGAGTTGGCCGGCTGCCAGCGGAGGCACCGGGCTGAACTTGGGCCGGTGTGTAGGAAGAGGTTCCTGAAGAGCTCAAACCAGGAAGTGGCGCTGCGCCGTGAGGATGGCGCTCCGGACAGCTGCCCGCCGCTGGCCGGCTTTTATCTACGCACCTTCCAAGGTAAGAAAATGAGTTTTATCTTTCCAAGAAGCTAACATCTGCTGTGGTTTTGCCCGACTCTTTGTGCGGACCGGGACGGCTTTAATGGAACACCTGTCTGTGTGGACACTTCCGTGTTTAAGAAGTCCTGACAGGCGATGTCCGAAACGAAAAGCTTCAGCCGCCAACTGGACACCAGCTTGTTGTTATTCCACGGCTGTTTGTGCTTTGTTTTGTTTTTGTTTTTGTTTTGTTTTGTTTTTTAATCCCACGAAAAAAAAACAACCCTTTCCGTTGTTGCTCGCTCTCGCCACAGAGCGGCGCTGTTCGCCCGGGATTGGATTCAAAATGACTGGTGTCTGATCTGGCCTCTAAATTCTTACTTTCTCCTTTTAGGTCGCCTCCATTCCAACACATGGAGCTGTCAGGTTCAAAGCCACCTGCCCCGTCCAAGTGAGCCATCTCGACCACCTGGTTCTGACCGTGAAAAGTGTGCCAGACACTGTTCACTTTTATAGCTCCGTTCTTGGCATGGAGGTGGTCACTTTCAAGGTACGTGTCAAAGAAACTCCAGGTGAAAATGAGTTAAGATTAAAGAGGCTTTGTTCAGTGCAGCTGCAGCTTAACTGATTCTCAGCGGTAGTTTGAAGTTTGCTCGTGTAATTGGCAGAGAAAAAGAGATGCTCATCCACTAACTGGCGTCCCTCTCTGGCTTTTGAGACACTTCTCAGTGCTTGCCTGGTCATTTCTTTCCAGGGGAACCGCAAGGCCCTAAGCTTCGGCCAGCAGAAGTTTAACCTTCACCAGCTGGGGCAAGAGTTTGAACCCAAAGCCAAGCTCCCCACGGCGGGCTCAGCAGACCTGTGCCTCATCACCAAAACCCCGCTGGAGGCTGTGGCCGAGCATCTGAAGGTGCCCACCCCCCCCCCCGCTCAGAGAGATCTCCCACGGCCAGGCCTTCTCTCCACATGGCCGTGAATCGGCCTGCTAAATGAACGGTCAGCGTGAGCTTGTGCTGTCTGTGCTCCTCTGCAGGTCTGTGGGGTGGAGATTGAGGAGGGTCCAGTGGACAGGACCGGCGCCGTGGGGCCCATTACCTCGCTTTACTTTCGAGATCCTGACCAAAACCTCGTTGAAGTCTCGAACTACAGCCAGTCGAAATCGGAGAGTTAATCTCGAGGCATGTTTGTGTGCACGTTAAGATAAGGAGTCTGTCTTTCCCCTCATTACACACTAAGTGTCTTTAACCCAAAATGACTGTAATTAAACGCCACTTACACCTGATTCAGACAGGCTGCAGGGCTTCAGCTGGCTCTGTAGATCTGACTCATTTCTGTTTGTGAAGCCTGTTTTAACGCTGTTCATTTAGAAATTAAATGAAATGAAAGTTAACTGTGAAGACAGACCAATCAGTTGCCATAAATACTTATTTTCAGGGTTGAATAAAATATTTTCTGACACTAGTGGCTGTTTTTTTGGTGTGATTTTAGTGCCAATAGGTCAACTATGAAGAAGGACAACATGCTATATTTGTAGTAACACGACTTCTCACTCTGTTTGGTTTTCACTGCATAAAAGTTACATTTCCCAGATCTTAAGCACAGTGTGAGCGGTCAGAATTTGATCAGGATATCAGTAACACAAAAAAGTAATCAAAATGGTTGTTTATTCTTCCTGAAGTGACACAAACTCACCAAAAATGAATCCGAAATTATAAAAGAAGATAAGGTTATCTTTAAACCTAAACTTTACATCCTTATTAGTAGCTTCAAGTTTCACATTCCCCGTCAGTGTTCAGATCATCTCGAAATCTGAACCTAAATCATCAGCTGGTAAATGTTATAAATAAAACCTTCAAATGACTTTTATTTTAAGAAAAGACAGTTAGGTGTTGTAATGGCGTTCTAACTCTGTAAACCAAAATATTACTTTCGAAATTAACTGGGAATCAACATTAATCTAACATATGGCTTAATGAGGATGCATTTCATGATATCACCCTTGCTAATGGTATTTTTCCGGTAAACATATCCAGTCCCCTCCGTCATGTTTTTTTTTCAGGCTGCTGAAGGCACAAAAAGAAAGATTCCTCCTCACGCAGACAGGGAGAGTCCTTTTGTTTGAGTTTAGGTCACGCCACTGTCGACACGCCACTGCTGCCTGTCACTTCTTCCACTCACTGTGTCGCCTGTTTACCAGAAGAAGCTGTGACAGGAGTTACAGGTGTATTCACTGCTGGGGACAAAAAGTCGCATTTTCCGCCTGAAATTCTGGAACGCCTTTTGTGGCCTAACAATAGTAATCTGGCCTGCGATCGGCGTGTGGAAACTCCATCTGTCTCACAGCTATAGGATGCACCACCACTGAGTTTTCCATTCGCTGGGGGACAGGAGAGCATTTAATTTCCTTAATGGCTACATCCTCTTTCTTTTTGACGAGAAGAAATGTGTCTTTTTTCTAAAAATAAAACCTATAGCAAGATATATATTGGCAGCTCAGGCTCCTCAGCAGTAATTCTTTCAGCACGAGGGATGTTTTTGTCTTTTTGTCACGGAGACAAAAAGTAGCCAAACAGACAGGGACAGAAACAGGAACTGTTCGAAAGTTTGGTATTTGGTAATGTGGCAAATGCTGATGCAGATAAATTGTAGGGAAAAACCAACATCATGTCCTTGTTTAGCAGCAGGTCTGGACCTACTGAGGACATACAAGCCTCCGAATCTTTGCTGGAGAGATGGAGGTCCACACAGTTTCTGACATAATGATGGTGGCAGGGCTTTTTAATGCATACATTTCTCACTGGTGATCAGTTT